GAAAGAGTTCGTAGAAAGAAAGAAAAATGTATTCAAAAGAAAAAAAAACGAAATATAAAGCATGCAAAACTGCTCCTGACGATAAATTAACGCAACTGACAAATTTCTCCCTTTTTTCTCAACCACCATCAACTCAACTTTCATCTTATCTTATCCCCATCAAAAAATCAAAATTCGAACGACTGCCAGTGGCCACCTAATCCACTCTAAACTTCACAACACCCAAAAATAAATCATCAACGAAACATAAATAAATCCAAACTTCATGAATCCTATCCCAAAAATGCATCACCAACTGAACAATTCTGCCTTCCAGCATTTCTTTCATTTCTCTCATCAACCTTACTCACCATTAGCATGTGCTTCCAACGAGCCACTCACTCGTTTCGCGATGATATTCGGCCTCACAAACAAATCCTTCAGTTTTGGATTTCCCTTTGCTGTCGACAGAATCAATTTATCCTGTTTGATTGCGCCTTCCTTCTCTCGCTCTTCTGCTTCCTTGAAAATGTTACAAACTATTACTGCAAAACAAAACTCTACCATTCAATATACTCAACCATCTCATCACCATATTCTTGAATTATCGCTATCCACACTACCAATACTTCAAACTGAATTTCTATCAACACACAAAACAACAACAACAACAACAATTGCTCACAAATCAATAACAACCTGCGTTCTGAATTTCTTTTGCATCTCTTTGATCAATCGAAACGCCGTACTCAAATTATTACTCGGCGCATTGATCTCTCCGGGTTCTTTTATATTGCTACTTCGGTAGGTTCTGAAAAAAGAAAACATCATTTCATTTCACTTCAATGCATCAAATGATTATTTTCATTTCTCTTTTTATGTTCACCGATTTAAAACAATCCTTTTATAATGTCAACATTATCGCTGCTCAACTGCAAATCTCACTCTTCTCAGATTGAAATTAAAAACTCACAATTCCTTCACATAAGTCGATAACGGATGCGGGAACTGTTGACTATCCTTGCCTATCTGCGAGCCAGGATGCATGAAATTGATACGCAAATAGGTGAAGTCGCCTTCAATCGACTGACTCGTATTCTTGATCATCGAGATGTGAAACGGCACGGGCACACCGAACACAGGCAATATTATCGAGTCATGCCGACGATCTGTATTCAAACAATACATCACAACTATTTATAAATTCTTCAGAAATAAAACATTTCTTCAACTCATTCACGATTCAACGAAATGTGAGACAAGAAATTTTTCGTCGAAAAATGCCAAGAATATGAAAAAAATTTTCTATTCACTCGAACAAAAAAAAGGAAAAACTGGAAAAGAATCGCTGATAAATTGCACTGAAAATGAATAATTTTTGGATTTTAATCTCTTCAACTCACTCACCCACATATATGTTCAACTTGTCCACTTCTGGCTCTTTCGGGAATTTCTCGTAGCTTTTGTAGGAAACGTTCGATTTTTTCACCGTTTTCGTATCTTTTTTTCCGGTTTGTTCGGCGAGACGTTCTTTGGCAGTCTCGTTGAGACGCTTTGCCAACTCTTTTTGGTGCTCCTTTCGTTTATCTTCGTTTGTTGTTTTATTCTGAATGTTCGTTCATCACAAAACGCATAATTTTAACAATAACAAAATAAAACTCTAAACCCAAATCATTTGACTTTATTCTAAACTTCAAATCACGCCACACACACGCACTCACTTAAACGAAAACCACTTGAAAAAATCCAAAAATTCCTCTTTCCACCTTTCATAAGCAACAAATTCATTCCTCGCTAACGATCCAACAACAAAACAAACAATACCATTGCAAAAAAATTCCAAATGACTTTGAGATTCTTCTCATCAAAAGTCGAATAAATGTACAACCTTTGCAAATTTTTGCATGAAATTTCTGTGCAAAAACTGAAAATTCGT